CAATAACCTCATAGATAGCATGCCACGTACGAAAAGGACCAACCAAGTACTGAAATTTCTTATGAACTGACGCTATTTATAATAATTTGATGTTATATTTTGTCATTATACGTTTTGATGAGGTTTTATTGTGATTAAAATGCTGAATTAAACATATTTCTACAGGTGTCTGATAAATTTGTTTGTTGTTGTTCTAATAAATCGTTCATAATGTCCATAAAACCTGTCTCATTATACAAATTAATATGTAGATGTTTAACCCTTTGACTGCGGCTGCTTTAAACGCGCGCGGAATTTTTGCGAGCCGTACACTGTATACAGCACACTCGCACTCAACTGCCGGAGGCGGACCGTATTTGGTACAGCGAATCAGCAGTTAATGGGTTAATATAACATGTATTTCTTGGTTTTACAGAACTAAGAGTATTTGCATTCCATCTTTATAATAATTATATTACTTAAAAAAAAATACGTAAACCTTTTGACCAAGACTGTATGTCAGAACAAAACAAAGAATACTTCAACTATCAAAACTACTTATAAGTTGATATCATTTGATGCAGTTTTGCTGTTTAATAAAGTTCCGATGGATGGTGCTACAAATTGTTTTCAGGAGAGATTAGCTCAACCTTCCATTTCTTCAATTGAATAAGTTGAATTAAACAACAATTAAACAAAAACTTTTCAGTGGTACAGCAGTAAGTCTGTATGCTTATAACGTTAAAAACTGGGTTTCGATACCAGTGGGGGACGAAGCACAGATAGCCCATTCTGTAGCTTTGTGTAAATAACAAATAAGCAAGCAAACCTTTTTCAAAGCTAACAAACAGTACCATAAGCAGAACAGTGAATTAGCCTTTGGTTGCCACTTTTCCCACTCGTTGCAACCTTTATATTGATAGGTTCGAACATATTACTCTTGATAATACTTTTTAAAACTTGATTGTTGGATAATATTCGTGGACATGATCTTGGCTAGTGATACAGAGTTGTAAACAATTGCTGATTACCTAAATGATGTCGATCTTCCCAAATATGTTCAGTTTACGTAAGATATTTATCAAGATAATTGTTCACTTTTTTGAGATGTACTTGTCAAAATAAATAAAAATGAAAATGTTTCTACAACTGTTTATTGGACAACATAATCAGTCTCCATACCGCCACATCAAAGATCATGTCACCCGTTTTCTCAAAATGTAGCAGCTTTTCGTACTTTTATAGCCAGAGCATTTAAAACTTGTGCTGTTTCCTGGTGGAAGAGCAGTTAATTTATGGAGTTAAAACGCAAAAATCCGGGGTTCGATTCCCTGCGGTGGACACAGCAGACAACCCAATGTGATTTTATTCTAAAAAATAAATAAACAATCTGATATAATTAAATTCAAGAAGAAACTGAATGATATAAAAAATATTGCTAATGATACAGGCTATAATGTTATCATTGAATATATAATGCAGAAAAGCATAACTCAAATACCCCCCCCCCCCACACACACACAGTGGCACAGTGGAATGTCTGCGGACTTACAATTCTTAAAAAAGGGGTTTCGATACACGTGGTGGGCAGAGCACACATAGCCCAGTGTGCAGCTTTGTGCTTAACTACAAACAAATAACTCAAATTTTACTAAGCAATGTACTAAATGGATCAGTGCATCTAATATAAATAATAGTACCACAAGTGTGTATATATATATATACAAGCTGTATTTGTATGTGTTATTCTTATAACTATATGCTGTGTCCACCGATGAGAATCGATCCACTGATTTTAGCGTTGTAGTCTTACCGCTGCTAGGGTGTTCAGCAAACGTAACTTCATTCCTGTTTTAAACAGATTAATAAAATAAAACTGTACTTTCTAATACTAAAGATAAAAAAAATGTGTATTAGTATTATAAAATTAGATGTGAGTGCAATAAAGTATGTATTTGTCAAATTAAACGCAAATTAAAATATCATCTTAATGTAATAAAAATATGTTAATTTCGCTACTTCTTGAACACACTGTTGACATTGTCAAAACGGGCCTTTCGATACAATGCCACGAAACATTTGTTTCATAGAACATAACACTCAAAGTAAATGGAATAGTAGAGAATGAATCCAAATTTTGTGTTGTAAGTTGAATATTTTTTTTCTTTTTTGTTAAATAGTGTAAGGTTAACTGATGATAAGAAATATTGGTTCTTTATGTATAACATTCATACTACCCTTAAAGTTTACAATGAGTTAAAACTTTTCTCTATAAAACTATCCGTTTGTCTTATATGTTTTTGCTTCTGATGAAGGTAACGTAAAGCTACTGAAACATGTAGAGTCTGTTAATGTTGGCTGTTGGCCAAAGAAATTTTCAGTTGCGCATTAAACATTGTTACTGCTTTTAGGCCTTTAGGCTAATATTACTGTTTTATTAGATCGGACAAAAAATATCAGCCAGAGACATATTTTGAATTATTTCGATTAATAAGTCCTTGGTTTTCTTTAGTTTTGTGATAAAATAAAAACTAATTATTCCTCAGCTCTGTATTGAATTTTATTTGGTTTGTTAAGACGATTCGTTCATTTGTAGCACAGATAAGCTGATAGCCCATAAAATGATACTTAAATAATTGACTTATGTTGGCTCCAGTCTTCAAAAGGCCTACGTTTCGTCATCTAGTGATACTAACTGTTTGATTCTTTGGGAATGTTCCAAAGTACATTTTATGAACGAATGTCAAGTAAGGAGCTGTTTCGGATACGCTTACATGCTTGAACTTAATATGCAGTTTGAATTAAACTAAAAAAGAAGCTTGATCTTCTATCATTACTGATAAGCATCGATTATGTCGTATTCAGACATACCATATGTTTACTGACTCCCCCTATTTTAATATAGAAATTTTCAGAATTTTCTTTTATGCCGGTGTATGTAGTTTAACGTACAACTTCGTCATAAAATAAACTAAGTTTCTTTCGACCTTGCTATCTATTATTCTGTGTCATTAACCTAAGGAATAATCTGTGACATCATACTGTGTGAAAGTCCATAGCGATATTTTTCATTTTGTGGTCAGGTGCCTCTCAAAGATATAGCTGGTCGATGGGAATAATCAACAGTCACGTGGGTCGTGCATGCGACCTGAGAAGAATATCACTATTGTTTCGGATATATAATGCTATGTTTTCTCACTTTAGGTATCAGCTTTTCGAAAGATATAACTTCTTGATACATAGAGAGCTCTTTATAGTAAAGCACCGTTCTTTATGAATTCACTATTTTTGATTGTGTTTGTGCTCTCGATAATTGTTGTTTCATTTGTAACACATTTTGTCCAGTCTCTTTCAGTTTACAAACTCTGGTTCACGCCGAGTTATATTTTTTGTTAATCTTCGTGTTATTCTGCGGAATCTACCATAAGGGAAGTCAGTGCACTAGAGAATACCAGAACTATCCCAGCCTCTATATCACATACTTTTTCTATGAAAACAAAGAAAAAGAGCAACAGCTTATCAAACCATTCTGCTTCCGAAAACAATTACAGTCGAATTTGAGTTGTTACAAACAACAAAAAAATACAACCTTATTGCTGAACATAGTGTTTTAAAAACAAGAAACTACCCATAGCAATTATTCAACAACCCGGTAAACATTTACTGTCCTTTACTTATACAAAACGACTTATTTATATACTTTGGAATAATGTTTGACATGAATCGATGGAATGAAGAACATTGTGTTCGAGGCTTAGTATAAAGACACACCCAAGTTAATGTGGTTATTGAGTATTAATATTTGCGGCTAACCCATACAAAAGGGCACTGAATATATAAATATTCAAAATAATAAAATATCACCTGGGCAGAAAATTCACATAAACCTAGCGAACAAAAAAAGTTAGTTGTCTGATAAACATTATTTTCATTCTGACATGCAAATTTTCTGTATAAACATGAAAGTAGTATTTGATATTTTTACACTTCTTCATTGCCATACTGATGTTACATTTGTTTAACAAACAATTAGTTTTGTCCGAAAGTTGTACTTTTTATCAGTATAGTTGTTGTTGTTGATATTGGTTGTCACACTACATGATTATTTGTCCACCGGTGGGACAGCGGTAAGTCTACAGATTTACAACGCTAAAATCTGGGGTTCGATTTCCCGCGGTGAGCACAGCAGGTAGCTTAATAAAGCTTTGGTTCAAATTAACCGAACAATGTGGTTATTCGCAACACGAGCACATTAATGTTTCACATCATTACTTATATAAAGCTGGTTAAAATGTTTCTTGAAAAATATCTTATAAGTGAAGTATTGGAAGGGAAAAAATCTATGTTCCTAAAGACAAGTCGTTTATTATTTCCGTATTTTTAGAAATAGACTCAGTATTAGTTTCTGTACGTCCAAACTAATCCAGTTACTTCACCTTCATTTATTTGAACTAATAGTTATTTCTATTTTCTTATATTACTGCTTTATTTATATAATGATCTAAGTGAATTATAATAACCACACTAAAATGTTATAAACAAACATTAAGCATATACAAAAAGAGAATGATTAATCCAAAATACTTAACTTCCAATTGCTTAAAGTCGCTCAGTGGAACAAACACAAACACTTTCTTAAAAAGTCTTGTGCGACTCATCTAAGTAACAAACATGATGTTATCAGTTAGGAAATCTCTAATGGAATGTCGACGGCCCAACTGCCTGTAAATGACGAGTATGTTTTATATGTTCTATAAAGCGTTCGATAGAATTGCAAAACATATAAGAATAAATTTACAAAGAACAACCAAGTGAATACATAGAAAAAGGTCAGTTTAACCTAAAATTACTCATGCTACAATGATTCCTTGCTGTTTTCTAACAAAGGATGGAAGCTTTCTGTGGAATAAAAAAAACAACAACAAGGCATTGTGCTTGATGCTGAGTACTATGGGTTTGTTACGATACAGTTGTTAGGCGGAAGACTGGCGGAGATCATTGGGACGAAATGGGTGATAGGCATGGGTGTGTTTGGAGCCTCTTTGTCAACTCTCCTGGAACCATCTGCAGCTCAGTTAAGAATCGGCCCTCTAGTGGCGGCTCGGGTTATAGCAGGAATTGGAAAGGTAAAATCTAGAATAAAAAACAAAAAGCTATTTATTAAGTTTCTTATACATTTATTAGATGTACAAGTAAAACCTGACATAATCTTATGCTCCTCTGTGTTTTAATTTGTTATTTCAACTATTAAAGGACAAGTGAAATACTACCATATGCATTGTTTGGATTTTATTTTTCTCAATTGAACAAATGATAGGATTTTCTAAGTTATTAACTCAAGTTCAAATATTTTATTTTAGTTCTTGGAGTAAGTTTTACTTCTAATGTTTAAAAATAGAAACTAATATTTCTTTTGTTGAAAATCAAATTGTGACTTTGCGTAGGGAGTTTTAGTTCCAGCCAAGTTTGCTCTCCAGGCTAGTTGGGTTCTAGTGCATGAACGGTCAGTGTTAGTGGCCATCACTGGACAAGGAGCAATGTTTGGCTTGCTACTCGCCATGTCACTAACTGGTGCCATCTACAAGAATCTAAGATGGGAGTATATTTACGGTAGGTCACATTTAACAATGATCTTAAATTTGTTTTATTTTATATTAGATTAACGAAAGCAATAAAATCACGATTGATTGTGATATAAGGCCTAAAAATCCCCAATTCTTAATTAGTTTACACGTATGATTCCAACTTAAATCAGGAAATAGCTTCAACAAAGTGTAAAAAAATGTTCTGGTAAATGAGGCTAAGTTTTGAATATATGTTAGAAAATGGAAACTATCAATTATAATCTATATAGTCTATGTACTTTTTTGGTTCAAAATAATTTCCAAGAAATACTTTTATTTATTCGAAACATTTTGCTGATACAGCGAAACGTTGATTATAAATAAAAGTAATTTCCGGAGATTAGTTGTTTTGTTATAAGATAATTTATACAATACCCTTTACTGTCCGCTAAACATTACTAAAGTTGAAAATGTATTTGTGATTTGTTTTTTTTTACTTTACGTGTGTATCCAAATGAACGTTATATAAAATTTAACATACAAGTTTCAAAACTTCATTATTACCAATCGTGATCTGATTTGATTTGTAACATGTCCTTTTATTATTTCATGTGTTTTAATTAAAATATTTATATTTTTATTTCATATAATAGAATTCTGCAATTGCCCTAGTGTGGCCTAGAGAAACCACAGCCAAGGGACAAACAAATCTGAAGAATTGCAGTCGAAAAACACATTCATGCGCTTTTGTTTAACCCTTATCATCAAACAACTCTAGGTAAAATCAGTTAAAACAATGTGATATTGGTTTTTCAATTAATTTCATTCAATAATATATCAGGTTGTCAAGCTCGGACTATGAATCCGATGATAAGTAGTTCGGTTCCCGTTGTTGCAAAAAAATAGCTTCGCATTTTTGGGCCGTAAGAGCATCATAAAAGTCACGATCCAGTCTTACTATTCGATTACACCATAGTACCCCAAGAGTTGGCGGCGGGTGCTATTGACTAGATATTTTCCCACTATTCTATCAGATAAAAATTAAAGACAGCTATTCTCAGATAGACCTTGTAGAAAATTTGTAAAACAAAGTTTCCTTCAGTAGCAACTTGGATGAATTCATATTATCTAATGCAGATTATTATTGTGTGAAATCTTCAAATCAATAAACTTTTTCTGATGATTTCATTTTCGTTCTAGGGAGTGTCGGATGTATTTGGATTGTTTGTTGGATGTGGTATATTCACAACAGCCCTGAAAAACACCCATATATCACCCAGGAGGAACTAAAGTATATCTTTGAACACTGTCTGTCAGGGAAAAGAGAGAGTCAGGTAAGGAACAACAAAGCTTGTTAAACAAATTTAAACTTACACTTCATTAAGGAATCGTAGTGTCAGAAAACTTAATTTTTATATAGTATATATAATAAGCTACATATATGAGTATGTTGGGCTAAGGATTTTTCTACAGTAGGTGTCTGTGACTTGTTGGCGATAAATTCAAAAACTAAACGAATAGCACCCACTCCACTTGTTTCTCTACTAATATATCCAAAACAAGTTAAACGTACATACAAAATATTCTTTAAACTATATATATCATAGTTGTATCTTAAATACTATATAGTTGTTAAAATTCCACTTAGGCCAATTCAATTGCTTTAGAATTCAGTTGACAAGCTATAATATTTTATTCTAGCTGTATCTTAAACACAATCAGTGTATTATTCACTTATTCCTTTTCTTCTCTCTCATTTCTTTTTCTTTTTATCACAACAGTATCGGTGTATAATTTACTTACGCTGCCTCATTGAGGAACCGCAGTTGTTTCCTCAACTTCCGATACCATGCAAGGTAGAAATTAAAAGAACAATCTTTTAACCGCTGTTTTTCGTAATACCGAAGGAATAGAATGTCAAGTTACGACGCTAATCTTGATCTCATTGGAACTCCATCAATTTTATCATACAAAGTACCTGAGTGACAGTCTCGTAATGTTGCACTAAAATATTCTTTTTGTGTTATTAAAACATAAAATTTGTGTTAATAACGTTTTAGTAAGGATGATTAATTAAGTAAATGTGGTAACGACGAGACACAAGACTAAAATTTAAACATAAAATCTTAATCATCACAAATACAGTCTAAACTAAAACACAACAAACATTGAATTTTATATATTAATAACAAAAGAAAAAGGCACTGGACTGGATTTAAAGTAAAATAAACTTAAATGAACTTTATGCTGGAAGACTGATTCACGAGATGCAACTTGAACCTTCATGATGATGGAATGACAACAGTATCGGATAATCACAACCATAATCATACTTGGAGGAGATCAAAACAAAAACTAACTTAAAATACAGCCAATACTCCATCAACTAAACTCTAAAACTATTGCACGTTCAACCAGATTAAGTGAACATTAATCCGAATTTGCTGTTTCACCCTTGCGTAACCCGAATGCACTATCTCTTCTCACTGGTTGGTCGTTGTTTGTTTTTAACGCATAGCTAAACAATTGGCGCTCTTCGTTCTGTCCATTACCAGGAGTCAAACATGCATCAGACTCACTGGCGGGACAAGACACATTTATTTCTTTTCAAACATAATTTATGGAACTAAAGTTTTATCCTAATATTTGGTTAAAAAAATAATAATTAGCATTAGTTTACGCCATAATCTACGTATGGTAAACAAAGACGTCAGTTGTTCCTCAAGCCACTTCAAAACAAGTTTTTATTTTTTGTTTTTTTCTACAAGATATCAATAACCTAGTATTCTTAAACTTAACTATTCAAAATATACGAGCTTTTCATTGGACATTAGAACGAGTGTGATAAATATGTTCCATATCATTACTGGATTATACTTTTAACATGGTAAATATAAATTAGATCTAAGCCATGACCCGAGTCTTGCACGAGGCTTATGGGCAGCTTGTACTATAGTTACTTAGCTAACCTTTGAACTACAAGTTGTGAATAACGATGTTTGTATCTTGCATCTTATACATATTAGAGCAGTTATTAAGATATTATAATTAATGAAAAGGAAACTGTCACACGTAGTATAAGGATCAACTACTAGTTAGGTGTATAAGTATCTCTAAAGAACAACAGCTGGATAAACGTAAATGTAAAATGTTAACACATATGTCTTACAGGTATGTTTATAATGATATGTGAAGATGTTTTTTCAATAGTTAATGATTATGTTATGATTATGAATGTTTTGCTCTTACCATTGAGTTGTTTTTCCTATTAGAGTAGCTCTTGACCTCGAAAGGTCAAATTAAACCCAGTAACTTATATAGGCTAAGTTTCTGAAGGACTTTGTAATAGTTAGTTATGTTGTAACACGTAACATAAAATTTTAATAAAAGGCAGTTTAATAATTTTTTATATATAATTAAAGTTTCATAATAAGATTACACTTGTTATGGTGAATTTGTTTTCCTTATAGCAACATCAGAACAACCGAATGTATATTTGACCTCACGCATTGCATGATATTTAAAGTGATATATGCTGCTTTTGCTTGTATTTAAGAGTGGATTATGGACAGCAGCCTTGTATGTGGCCCAGAGCATTACTATGATTATCTGTGCGATTTTGGCAGACAATATAAGATCAAGAAAGTGTATGAGCATAACAAATATTCAAAAACTCTTTCAGTCAGTTGGTAGGTAAATCAGTAAAAACGCCAACTTTCAACTTGAGGTAGTTGTTTTATTGTACTGTTTTAGTTTCGACTTCTTTGTTTAATTCCCAGTTTGAAAAACATATAGTATTTACCCTGCTGTAACTCGTACCAAATATTTACAAGCTCATTCTACAAGTATCTCATTAAAAGCGTTTAGATGTGTATATTATTTTTTACTTTCCTAAGTTCTTTAGAAACTATGAAGTTTTAAAGTGTTTCTTCCTTACGAAGTATGGTTTTTCAGAATATAATGCCATCATAATCATAACTTATTCTGATGCTATAAGGTAACACAGACATGTTTGTTTCAGCTCTTCTTGGATCGGCAGCGTGTTTTGTTGCCCTTGCTCACGTGGAGTGTAACTATTTCAGCGTCATCTTCTTGCTGATAATTGAAACCAGTTTGTATGGATTTACTTCAGGAGGTGATGGTCCAATGGCGGCGGATATTGCCCCAGATTTCGTTGGTATTAATTTCATAATTATTTAAAATTGCTGGTATTTACATTTTAATAAAGAATTTTTATGTCACGTCAAGAAAAGTAAATTCATTTGTAGTGTTTACTTTAAAGAACAATTTTAAAATGAAGTTATAGAAATTATTATAAAACAAACAAAAACACAAACGACATGTTGAACTTGTAAGAGCTGTAGGTTTTTACAGTAATATTACAAAAACTACAATTTTATCACTTTCTTCTTATTACACTTTTCCAAAGATCTGGTGTCATATTTTTCCATTGAGTGTAATACCTGCAGATAAGTTTCATCCTTGCATAAAGTAAGATAAAGTATTGTAAATTTAGTCAGACTTTCAAAAATGGGGGTGGGGTGGAAGTTACAAATGTGAGTTAAACAGGTTACCAATTTAATAATTTTCAATCTTTTCCACATGACTAAGGATAGTTTGGTATGATCATGTAGGTGTGTATGTGTGTCCTATTTAATGACCCTACAGTGAAGTTCTTAATTACAGTTGTTAACAGAATATCTAAAATGGATCTCAATATTCTCACCGTTAGTTGGTTTAACATGTTGAATACAGTTTTGTGATTTACTCCTTTACATTGAGAGTTCTCGAGTAAGAAGGCATATTGCTTCAAAGCCGCCGAATATTTCGTACAATGATCCATTCAATTTCAGATTAATTGCAACTGTTTAGCCAAAGACTTTTAGAAAACCTCAGAATTGAAATCCACACTGCTTCTCAAGTTAGAAGAACTTTGCATGAATTTTCTTTCTAAAAATATAATATAGTCTATTTCATACGGGAATTTATTCACGCGATAATAGATTATAAATAGTTTTTAGCAAATAACACTAATCTCAAATTTTCTGTTACAGGTACAGCTGTAAGATTCATGCACACCATCAATGACACTGCAGGTGTATTGGCACCTCTAGCGGTAGGACTATTCACACAACATAACGTAAGTATGGGCTGCTCTTGTGTTTATACATCACTGTTTACAGGCGTAGGTTAAATGTGACTATATCGAAGAATGATTGTTGGAACCATACATCTGATTCTACGAGTGTACAATACTTACTAATTCAATATGACACTAAGACTATATAACTTTAATAGTGCAAGAACCGCTGTAGCTATTCGACTGTTAAAGATATAAATGTTGTTATGAATATGTGATGATTAATAGTAATGGAGCTGTTATGATTGTCTAGTATTTCTGATTTAGAACCACAAAGAAGATGCCTTCGTTTTAACACAAATAGGTTCGAGAATCCAGTCGCTGATTGGTGAGCTTTTACAGTTACCATTTAGGTAGCAATCGTACAAGAGCAGAGACATACTGCATGATATATATGCAAAAGCAAAAATGAGAAATAAGAATATCTTTGAGTTAAATAAAAAATGGTATATAACGGCGAATATCATACAAACGTTACTTTGTCTAGTCAGCACTGTGCATATAACTTTGGTGGCTTTGATTAATAGTCCTGGCAACCAAGCAAAAGCAAGAACAAAAACCTTGCTGTAAACTCAAGACAATTCTACCTATATCACTGACAAGTGTAGAACAAAAGACTAAGAAAAACGTCAAATTTTCTAGCTACACCTGTCACCTTTAAACTGAAGATACATTATCTACTTTAGTTCCCCATTTGAATCTCGGGTTTGTGGCCTTCCAGGTCTCCTTCCAAGAATCCAGGACACAGCGAACCTATAGAAAAACATTCCTAAAAATATTATTGGTGATGGATGGTATTAAATCTCATAAATTGTTTTTTAAGTTCAGAAAGAAAAGTTAACTTTAGTTAACTTTCGTTTTAATAAAAAGAAACTTGAGGAAGGGTAATATTAATAACATGCTACCACGTACATATGACTATAAATACTAAAGATGCTACTGTAGCTACTTCATACAAGTGTCGTTATGACTATCAGTATCTAAGTTCTGCTACTGCCGTGTGGTTATTACAAGTACAGGTGATATTCTGATTGCATGACTAACAATATATAGCCTAGGTACCATCTATGGTTGTTTGACTGCTGACAGTTTATGTGATCATATACTGCTTAATGATAATAATGCTGCTAGAGCTGTATGACTGTTGATGACACAGGTGCTGCTTCATTGTTAATTTGTATGTGATTCGAACAGATTTTTTGCATTGACTTATCAGCTGTTTTTTTTTTCTTTTTCCAATCTATAAATGTTAGTGTTTCAGAAAGATGATTGTTTCCGGTTTTAATATTCCTTTCTGATTAAAATCTTAATATGTAAATTTCTGACAGATTTAACAAGTGATAATTGTAACAATACCAAACAAGCCAGTATGCAGCAGTGGAGGAAGGTGTTCTGCCTGGTGGGAGGGATTAATGTCGCTGGCACTTTGTTGTTTGTGTTGTTTTCTACTGCAGAACCGGAGCCTAGGGCTGTGGAATCTGTGAACTTACAGGCATTGGATAAAGTCCTCAGTGAGTAAGATGACAGCAGTGGAAAGAAAGACATTCACTTACAAACATCTAAATCTACATCAAAGTGTACATTGAAACACTGACTTGGTTGTTTTATGCAGTTCATGTATTTTTTTACTTGAAAACATTTTATATTTTTTGTTGGGAAGTACATTTTATAAACAAATTTTAGTAAAAGTACACGTTTAACAAGCTATGAAGGATAATTAATTCATCCTATTTGAAATAAAAGAGCACTTTAGGATGAATGATTTGAAGGGTTTTCTGAATGACTAAATTTGTCTAATACAAAGTTTTTACAAATTTAACATATTAAAAAACAGGTCTTTAATGGCTTACCTATTGAATGAATGAATAACAACAATTTAATTTAGTCGGACTGCGTTTTAAACTTCAAAATATATAAAGGAATGTTTGTTTATTTTATTTGTAATTAAGCACAAAGCTACACAATGGGCTATCTTTGCTCTGCCCACCACGGGTATCGAAAC